TGTAGAGGGCGATGAGGTCGCCCCTCAGCCTCCTCTTCTCCAGACTAAACACCCCCAGTTCCCTCAGCCGCTCCCCCGGCAACAAGTGCGGGCTCTGCCTGCGGGGCCTGCGGCGAGGCCGCCTCCTGTCTTGAGGTCCCGCGGCGCGGCGGTGCGCTGCGGAGTCAGGGAGGGAGGGGGGCGGGCGCGGGCATGAGGCAGCTCTGGTCTTTTTGCAACCTCGAGAATTTCACAGCAGGCTCAGGTGGGTGTGAAACTGAAGAGAGAGAAGGAAAATGTCTCCCGTGTCAGACTGCAGAGTGTGCCCATCTCGAAGCAGATTGCTGAGCACGGGCTCTTGTCCGTGATTCAGAGTTGGCTTTTCACGGCCAGCATATCCCAAAATAACTCGGAGTAGATTGTCCATCCTCCAAGGCCACAACTCTCCTGTCGCTGAATTCTGCCCTCCCATCAGGTGCATCAATATCAATGCCTCCCCACAATTCCTTGATAGCTCTTTTCCAGCATTCAAGGCTGATTTTGGCATTCCCTTCCCACTGGGGTGATGGCCTTGCAGCCTTGTACCTCTCTAATGCTAACACTTACCATGGCGTTTTCTGTTTTGTCATCATGCTGAAATATGTTCCTCATCCTTGTTAGCTATGCCTTCTGCATTTGGGTGGATCCCAAAGATTTACTTCCCATCCGAAGATGAAGAAAAATGTGTTGTAAATATGGTTGCTACTAATCATAAAGCTTAGTGCATACCCTTTTGTGTAAGGTGAGAACTGTTGTGAGATGTATTGCAACTTCACCTGCCACAAGATAAAGGTTTCCTGATGTTCTTCAGTCCTTGTCCTGAAGTTAACTATATCACCTATCAAAAGCAGACTGGGAGGCATATGGCCTAAAGTCAGATAGATTGAGGCAATGATGACATGAATACATAGTATTCATTACTTGCTTTCACATACAATTGTGGATTAAGGGGAAAATAGGAGATTGTGAATTATTGTGAGTGAAGAAGTGGAGAGAGAGCAGGAGTAAAGGAATGGGATAGGGAAAGTGCACAATGGAATTATGTTTTGGGGCACATCAGTAATCAATAAACAGAAAATATCTGGAACTGTTATTTTAGTTCATTAGGCACTTGGACAGTCTTGGTAACATGGGCCTCAGCACTCCTCAGGCCCATTGGAAGCGTTCCTCTCCCACAGGTGAGCTTTGCTGAGGAAGGGGGAAAAGGCGGTGTGGCCTTAGTAACAGTAGTGTGTGGTATTAGACTTCGTCCCTGTAACTGTCCACTCACTTACACTACACCACTAGTGGAATGGCATCATATGTGTTTGTCTCCGTTACTAGTATCTTGAATACCAGAGCACTACTGTTACTGCAGGTTTGATTTTACCAGCAAACGTGTTGCTTAAGAATATTTTGCAAGGCATCCATGTTTTCTGACTTGGGGAATAGCACAGGTCGCAGGTTTTGTAGCTTCTGGATCTTTCAGTCTGGAGATGACACACCATGATAATTACCAAAGAAGGGTTGTTGGAAAATTTGGAAGTAAACAATGTAGGGTAAGGCAATGGATAATATTTTACTCTTGAATACAGTTGGTACCAGGCTGGCAAATAGATTGGGAACTCTAGGTGCATTTGTGTGTATGTAGCTAGACTGTAACAAGATGAAAATAAATATTGCAAAATAGTGGCTACTTAAAATGCAAACTGTAATGGATCATAAAAACAAATGGTAGGAAATTAACTATTTTTTCCACTTTGCAGTAGTATTCAGAGATCATATCATGCTAACACTGATTAAACACCCTTTGAGACAGTCTCTTCCTTGAAGAGTTCAAGCCATATTTAGTCCTCTGTTCACAGTGGAAACCTTAGATAATGGCCTTTTACTATGGATGTGCACTGATGTAATAAAATAGAATCTTGCCCATGGTTGTTGATATGGTAGGGGGTAATGGCAGTATTCATTGTCATCTCAATATTCAGCATAATTTAAAGAGGGCGTTACAGACTCCTTTGCATTAGTTATTTTCATCTGTGTCAGGATGTAATCTCTTTTTTACTGAGATGCAACGATAAACTTGTACATCTTGTATATTCACAAAAATAGGCAATTTGTCATGTAAACTTCTTTAGCAAGCAAAATCGAACAGATTTTTTACTTTATGGTGCTTACAGCACTTAGAGTAATCGGAGCTTTTGGATGAATGTGGGCAAACGATTCACAATATTACTTTCTTTTCTTCATTGTGTAGGAAAATAGAGCTGTAAACATAATGCTTTCTTTGTAGCTGATTCCATTCAACCAGAATGGAAAATTTTTAGAGGAAATGACTGAAGACCAATAAAGGGAGTGCTGATTGTGTTCTCTCCCCAATACCAGAGCAATTATGGTTTGGGGATTTTTATTTATGTCTTCCAGTTGAGCATATTGCATATAGTATATACTTTGATGGCAAAAGTGGAATCCCGACTTTCTGTGAGTTTGTTTAAACAATAGCCTCCTGAGTTGTCTAGCTGATTTTCCAGACATTCATGTGCTTGAGTAATGATGCTGGACTTTGTGTTCATATGTGTTTATATGTCTGTCCTTCACAAATAAATGTACTATATATTTTAACAAATTAGGCCAGGACCTGCTACAGGAGATCATTACGGATTGGCTTTGTCTTACTTCATCAAATTAAAAACTTCTGTCACTGCTAGGTACATGTATCTGTGTGAGACTGCAGGTGCATTTGTCTTCACTGTTTTTTCCTACTGCTGTTGACAAGTCACTGAAGCAAGGAAAGAAGAGGGAAAAAAAAGACTTTCAGAAACAAAAGATTGGGAAATTGTATAGTACAGAATTTAGTGAGTAGGTTCCCACAGGTAAAGTTGAACAGGTAATTGATGGAAGATGTTTCTTGCCTGAAGGATCTAATTCCAAACGCCAAAATCCTGTGAGAGGATATAGTAAATGTCAAAGATTATACAGCTTTTAAAGTCCCAGATTAAAAATAATTAATTTTAGTTTGTGAACACAAACTGGAGGCATAGTATATTCTCACTCTGTCATGAACAGTAAAGAGAAAAGTTGCAGAAAATGCACAGAGACAAACGATAGCACTAGGGATAGCTGGTGGCAGTGTGTGCACTGTGAGGCACATAGCTGCTCCAGTGCACCCTGAAGCTCTGATCATCCCCTTGTCAGATGGGAGGGACCTGTTGGAGCATGCCTGCTTCCCTCCTTGTCCGCACCCATATTTTCTTCCAAAAAACCCCACAGGGCACATGGGATGATGAGATAGGTGAAGAGAATATGACCACATAGATGCAGAAGGGTGTTGGCAAGTCCAGAAGGTCTTGCTCCCCTTTCTGGATGACTGGAAAACCAGTACTATAGTGTATGTTGCCAGAGAGTACCTGGGCCTCTGTGTAGACATAACTGTTAAGTAACCACCCACCTGTCTTAATGCACCACATCTAGGAGACACATTTCCTTATAAATAATACATTTTGAAAAGGAAGAATGAATAATGAGTTATCTACTTGGATCTGAGTTTCACCTTTCTCCTCAAAAGCTGTCTTCTGTAGTGGGTAGATGTGTGTAAGGTTCCCACTGGCATGATGACAAGTGTCTGTCTTGTAAAAATATTTCTGTGAACTAGGGGAGGAGTCAGCACTTTGGTTTTGTATTGGGTTTATGCTGTGCTGAGTTAGTACCTTGTATTTTTCTGTCTTAATGGTGTTCTCTAAGCTTCCACAGTGAGACTTCTGTGCTGTCACCTACTCAGAAGGAAAGGGTCTGCATATAATACTCTCTACATGAATACTCCTTCACTGTTTATTATATTTGTAGTTAAACCACTGATAATGATAGTGAGAAACGACAGTTAAAAATTCTGGTATAGTCATATTGGGGGTTGGACTAGATAACCTTTAAAAGTCCCTTCCAACCCAAACCATTTATGATTCTGTATTTTGATTGCTGCATTCTGGTTTGCTGAAGGTTTAGATGAAGAATTGTTCAAAGTCTCATGTTTTCTGGGGTGATGTTTGTCACTGAAGAGAATAAAAGATTGTTTAAAGGGACTGAAATGGTCTTCCTTAATTGAAGTGCTGGCCAGTGCTCTTGCAGAAAATTAATATTTTAGTGTTGTAAAATAAAAATTTTAGATTGCAAATGAGAAACTTATCTGCTGTTTATCAACTATTTTGTAATAAATATATATATATATTTTTGTATTCCAGTCAGGGCAGTTCACAGAAGATATGATTCCTACAGTAGGCTTCAATATGAGAAAAATAACAAAAGGAAATGTTACCATAAAGGTAGGTATGCATGTTTGAATTAATACAGAGTAGACAAAGTGATTGTAAAAGCATAGGAAATTTAAGATGATAGGATCATTTATCTGTTTTTCTAGTTCAAAAATAACTTTTTAAAAGCATATAGTCATGTATTTCTCTGTTAAATTAAACTATTTGATTTCATTAGATCCAAACCAAGCAGAAGCTTTGTTGCACTTTTTTGGGTTAGAAAGGTCATAAAAATCTGAGGTGTTAAGGGAGCTGTGTTGACTTCTGGAGGTGCCTCTCTTCTATCTCTCTCTCTCTCTCACAACTGTAAGTGAAATCTGAAGTAACTTCACTACTAACTTACTTATCTCAGCAGAGAATGTGGTTTAGCTGGCATAATGTTAGCTGTGTGTAAATAGAACAGCTACTGTAAATCAGTAGTTGGGGAACTGTCTCTTAGGCCTATAGAGAAATATAGATGATGCCAGTTTGGTTGTGATTCTTGCCATAGTCATCAAAATAGAGATAATTCACTCCAGCACTGTTAAGGGACTCTCTGTTGTTTGATTATGAAGGGAGCCTGGTTGATTAGTCTAAATTGAATAAATAACTTTATCTAAAATTACATAAAGGGAATATAGGTTTTTGCCCTTATCTTGACTTTTCCCTCCTTTTCCTTAATTTTCTCTCCTTTCTGCCTTAGTTCTAAAGATATTTTTTTCCTCTGCTTTGGTGTGACTCCTAAACCTAGGGAGGATTATCTGAAATTACCTATAATGTGAATATAAGCAGTTGTTAACTGTCTACCTAAACTGTCTCTCTAAACAGTGAGCAGATAAGGGGTGGTAAAAAGGGTACTTGACTTCTGTTGGTTGGGAGATGTTAAAGCTGGGCTGAAAAACCCTAAAATGACCATAGTGGTATAAATACTATGACTGCCTGTCTGTTTCTGGTCTTAGTATCTTCCTATACTTTCTCAAAATTTCAAATGACTGTAGGGCCTTCAGCTGTATGTTTCACCTGTGTATCTACTTCTGTGTTCTAAACTTGCAGAATAATCAGTAGGTTCCTCTACAACTACTTATATGTTACAGCGCCTAATAAGCCAGTCTTTTGAAATCTGTTGAAATGGAAAGTCTAATGTTACCCAACTATTTCCTCTCATCACTCCAACCCTCCTTCCTGTATACCCTCTTGAAATTCATGTCAGGTTTGGCTGAAAAAAAACCCTCTTAACATAACCCATGATTTGATCTGATTTTAGTCTGCCAGGAAATTTTGGCACATTGCCAAAAATAAATGATGGTGAGTATCTTAAAATTAGGTTCATGGTAAAGACTGTAAAAGGATTAAAAGGAAAATGGAGTAAAATGTAAAATGGAGTAGAAGTGGAGGAGAATTATTCTTTCCTTGGTAACCTCAGCTTTGTGACTTTGTGCATGATCATGTACGTGATTAGAGCCTACTTTGGGAGAGAATCTGATCTCTTATCACAGAGCAGGTGAGCAGGAAGGCAAAGTAACATCATACCGTGTTTTTAATTCACACATTTCCTGAAAGGTGGTTGTTTGATAGAAACCTAAATTTGTCAGTGTAGAAGGTGTGTGTGTGTGTGTTGTGAGTTTAAAAAAAATCAAACTGTCACATGATGAACACTGCAATACTCAATGCAACATGTCCAAACTTTTCTTTGAAGTAAAAAGTCAAGACTAGCATTGCTTTACATAGTGGGCAGCTTTCTGAAAACACAGAGGAATTTATATGGCAGTATGAGTAAGCTTGCATCAGTTGGACTTTATCCGGGAAAAATGTAGGTAACCATAATCAAAAGCCTCTCAGCACTAATTCTTTCAGCCAACCCTGTATGCTCAGTTTATTTTGGAGACCCAGGAATCAGGAAGGGTAAAAGCTAACTCTAATGGTCTTTCAGGAGACCAAAGTAGCACACATTCTGCCGAGTAACAGTTACGCAGCTTTTTCTTGTAAATGGAGACTGTTATTTCATGATGCTTTCTGTTAGTTCTTATGAATGCGATGTTTGAAACTGGTGAAAAAACACAGTTTCATTGATGATGAGGTTTCACTTCTGGTTGTGGCCCCTCTTCACCTCTCTTCTCAGTATATACAAAATCATCCAAGCTCTCTCTCATCTCTGCTGGTTCATTTCTCTGTGGCCAGCTCTGCTTGTAGTAGTGTGTACACTGCATGTAAGGTAAGGCTGGTTAGGGGAAATCTGAATTCACAAGAACATGTGCTTTGATTGCCATAGGGCAGTATTCATGCTGCATAACAAGAAGGTATACTGATGAGCAGAGAGGTATTTCCTCTCTTTCCTTGCTGTAGAGTTTCCCTCCAACTCTCCTTACGCCCATCAAACGTTCCCTTCTTCCACTTTGAGATTTCTTTGTGCTTCTTTCATTTGCATATACACATAAAGGCCAAACCTTGAACACCTCATTCCTCAAAGTACCCACTCCTGTCCATTAAGAGGAATTAACAAATGTCCTTGCTTAGTCCAGGAGCAAGTTTGTTAGTGAATGAGGGAAAAAAAAAAACCAAACGAAACTCTAGTCTTGGGTCCTTCTGTTGAATGTGTCTCAACAACCATCCACGTGTGGCTGAGCAAAGAGCTGAACTTCGCTATAGAAAGGACATACTTCACCCTGACAGTAGCTTGGTACATTCCTGTTCATCTTCTCCCAAAAGAGTGCCTTTTTAATCAAAATCAGAATTTGTGATTTTTTTTTTTTTTTTAATTTGGGGTCCAAATTCTGCTTTCCAAACAGAATCTTTCCTGTAATGGGAAATAAAAGCCCCTCTTAAAAAACAACCAACAAGAAACTGCCCATGGTAACACTTCTAAACCTCAATATGATGTTCCTCATGCTACGGACAAAGTAGACTTAACTTCTGGAAAACCTGAGAGGGAATCAGGTCATCCTAGTGAGGGTGGCAGAGATTAAAGGTCAGCTTTTACAATCAGCTTAAGTAGATCATGGTATGAGGTTTTACAGTCTACTTTAAGCCTGGCTGTGCACCCTTGCACACCTTTTCCATCAGCACCAGTGATCCCATGGCAAAGTGGTAGTCAGGTCAGCCAGCTGATCTGGATGAAAGCATCCTCTAAAAAAACCCCAGCAACCAACAAACCGGACCTGCCCCCATGCTAGTTTCTCCCCAGTAAAATTACCTAAGCAGTGTGCTCCCCAAACAGCTGTGTGATTGCAGGTGCCACCATAGTGTGGGAAAGCAGGATACAGACGCAGGCAAAATGATGCATTTTGGGGGAAGCCTGGGTAGACTGACTTAGCTACGAAACACTGTATTTAGGGAACAGAATCTGACCAGGAAGAAAACAGTCTCTATTTGATGAAAAAAACATTTCCTTCATCCTTCCACTCTGGTAGTTGCAAACTTAAGCACGACTACCCTTGCCTGTTCCTAGAGGGCTGCCAGAATTAACGTGTTCAGTATGCACACATAGACTGCTTTTAGATGCAGATGGACCACTGACATTATTTAAAAACAATAAGTGTTTAATGCTATATTATTAGGATTTATGAACTTTGGATGGTGTTAAATCTTCTAGCCCTTATGATTAATTCATGATTGATACTAGTTATGAAAGAGAATTTGTGGAGAAGTCAATAGGCATTGATATTGGAACAGTCTGATTGATGTGCTAATTGTATAGATTTTCTCCCCCAAGATTCTCTTTATTATACTGAAATTCACATGTACACTAGCTGTGACAGCAAATCAAATAGTTTATTTACAACAAGGACATCAGAGGCACTGCCTTGCAAGTGTAAATGCATCCTAAGGCTATGCCATGCTTTCTTGACCTCTGATACTTCAATGGTAGGTGTGTAGAACAGGATCAGTGACAAAATTATGATTAGCATTGTGTTATGAAGCGGCAAACGCAGACTCACAAGCGAAAGCTGTTTGTTTGAGTTTAAATAGTCAAACTGTCATAAGTTTTCACTTATGTAAAGGGGTATTTTAACTTGTTATTTCAGCATGTAGGTGTTCCGTGTCCTCCTGCCTGAGCCTTCCCTTCTCTTTCACAAGAGTATTTCTGTACTGAAGCAGTACCTTCCACTTGAGCTTTAGCAATGTTTCTTAATTTACCCAGAGAGGATTCTATTGTAGTTACTCCTAAACTTCACTTTTCATTGCATCTGCCTTAGTTTACTACTGATCAAAGAGTTCCATAGATGCCTGTCGTGGTGTAAGCCCAGCGGGCAACTAAGCACCTTGCAGCCTGCTCTCTCAGTCCTCCCTGCCCTGGTGGGCTGGGGACCAGAATCAGAAGGAAAAAAAACCCCGTGAGTTGAGATAAGTTTAATAGGACAACACAAGGTGTTAAGAAATAATAATACTAATGTAAGAATATATCAGGTGAGTGATGCATGATGCAATTGCTTACCACCTGGAACCCAATGCCCAGCCTGTTGTTCCCAAGCCACAATCCCTGGCCAGCTCCCCCATTTACATACTGAGCATGATGTCTTATGGTACCGAATATCCCTTAGGGTAGTTGGGGCAGCTGCCCTGGCTGTGCTTCCTCCCAACTTCTTGTGAAAATAAACTCTATCCCAGCCAAACCCAGGACAATGCCACAGTCAATAAAAAACTTACTACATTTAAGCACAGTTCATAAATAATCCACAGGAATAGGAACTACCTTTCAGTTCCCTTGTTTTCTGTCTTTTGCATAGAAACAATGATGCCATGATTTAGACTATATATATAGAAGGCATAAGGATAGTTGGAGTGCTATACTGATGTTGCTCCAGAATTTTCAGACGTGGCAGAAAACGAGAAGGCTGTTGAAAGAGTCTTCAAAAGTAATTTTTGAGCCAGGATAGTTCAAGTAGGTGAGGGAAATTACTGTTAAGTTTGTACTGGAGTTGTCTGCACAAATGATACTGCAAGATCGAGTTCATGCAGGGAGGAGGTGTGTGAGTTTCTGTGGAACTGTGCCTTGTTTTACGCTTTGATCTCGAAAGTCATGTTATACTCTAGTT